TGACAGCGATCACCCTGCATTTGTTTCACGGTGAGTTTAACGAGAAAGATCGAACAGTTGATTAACTATAATCGATTCGATATAAAAGCGAATGTAAAAGTGATGTAAGTGAACATTTCGTACCGGGAGGAATAAGTGTAGTTTTAATAGAGAGTGAGAGAAAGAAAGCATTGAACGTGTAAATCCGAAATTTTTTTTTTTTTTTCCTAAAAATATTCCGATCTCTACGTGACATTTCTGTTTACTTGTCGATAGAATAAAGTGAGGGAAGAAAAAAAAAATATCGGATCGACAAACAGAAAAATCGGAGGAAAAAGGAATGATTAAACTGAGAGAAAGAGAAAGAGATAGAGAGAGAGAAAGAGGGAGGAAGGGAGGGAGGGAGGGAGGACGAGATATATATATATATATATATATATGTACATACATATATATACATACATACATACATATATATAAAAGAGAAAGAATTTGTGGGTAAAGGGTGAGGAAGAGATGACAAGAGAGGGAAGAAAAAAAAAATCGAGAGAATGAAGGAACAGGTGAGGGGGTGGAGAAGGAGAAGTAGTAGGAGTAGGAGTAGGAGTAGGAGTAGGAGTAGGAGGAGGAGGAGGTGGAAGGAAAGGGGCGGCGTAGGGGTTGATAGAGGGAGGAGGAAAGGGAATGGGAAAACGCATACAGGGCTGTTCAGAGTAACATGGAGCGCATCGCGGGCGCAGCGAGAGAGGATATTGACATTTTCGGTCGAGGGGCGCGCATTCGTAGAAGAAGGGGTAGTGGGTAACGGGGCAGTCGCCTCTTTTACCCGATCCTGCAGTATCCATGGCTACGTCGTCCGCGAGGATTTCGCGCGAAATACCGGGAATATCGGGCGCATAATCATCAATTTTAAATATATTTAACGGTGAAATTGTCAAGTGTTTTGGATCCTTGGTGTACCGGAGGTGCTCGTTTCGTTTGGAGGATTCGCTTTATCGTTTGACAGGTGATCGCCTCGCGAATCATTTGATTTCGGGAAAGGGTGGGTACCGTGATCTCACACCCCGGTTGTAACCGCGGTAGCCCATCCCTTCTTTCGTTCCACCCTAACCCCTTCCCACCTATTCGTTTATCTTTCTATCTCTTACTACTCTCCACCAACCCTCTCTTCTCCACCTTACCCTTGCTCTCTCTCTCTCTCTCTCTCGCTCTCTCGCCATCTCTTCTCTTCTCTTCTCTTCTCTTTTCTTCTCTTTTCTTTTCTTTTCTTTTTTTTTCCCCTTCTTCCATTTCTGTCATTTTTGCCCCCCGTCTTTTCTTTTAACGGGCAACATAGAACGTTCAACCGTATCCATCTTTCACGAGATTACCGCCAACGGTGAGTTTATTTCGCGATTCGAGATCAAATCGAAACACGCGAACGTGTAATAAATGAAAGTAGAAAGAAAGGGGGAGGAGGGAGGGGAGAGAGAAGCGATCAAGGAGATACGTGTACTTTACGTGCAAGTGAGTTCGAGAGAGCGAGAGAGCGAGAGAGCGAGAGAGAGCGAGAGAGAGAGAGAGCGAGAGCGAGAGCGAGAGCGAGAGCGAGAGCGAGAGAGAGAGAGAGAGAGAGAGAGAGAGAGAGAGAGAGAGAGAGAGAGAGAGAGAGAGAGAGAGAGAGAGAGAAGGCGAGAGAAGGGAGAGGGGGGGGGAGAAAGATGGGAGGAGGGAGAAAGAAAGAGAGGGGAAGAGTAGGAGTAAGAGAGCGAGAGAAAGAAAAAAAGAGAGGGCGGAGAGGGCGGAGAGGGAGTGAAAATCGCAAAGAAGGTAGAAAAAACGGAAAGCGTATAAACGATAAAGTACTACGTATCTATTGTTCAGAAAATAAGAAAGTTTAATAAAAAAAAGAAAAGAGCGAGAGAGAGAGAGAGAGAGAGAGAGAGAGAGAAAAGGGAGCAGTAAAAAGAAATATCCTCCTGGTTAAAGAATCGAGAGACAAGGGGCGTTGATTGAGCACCGGACAGCGAATGGGTGCATCCTACCTGGTGCAGTGTTTACTTGGACTGTGAGATACCTTGGACTAGGCGGTGTCTTTTGTTGTTCGGTAACATGACAAATTACAGTGACATGTGCTATTCAATTGCATAATAATTCCTGTCGAAACGATCGAGCTGGTTGCCTTTCAATTATTAATGTCTTCTTTGATTCGAAAACTGCAATGTTTTAACAAGTGCGAAGTTCTCGTTACATACGTTTAACTAACGTATCTGTCTTGTTCGAATACATATTTTTTTTTTTTGGTTAAATTAATCGATAATTAATAATTAAATATACAAATAGTGCGAGTACTCGAACGATTGATACCGTATTTTTCAATACGATCGAAAATACGATGATTATTGTTTAACTTTTTCACTCCTTGTATTCCGTGGATATCTAGATATATTTTCCTATACCGATATTTCGTTGCCTGGAACACAAAAGTGTCGATAATTGGGATACAAATTCGAGGCAAATGAACGATAACTTAAGAGATAATTATCCTTGAAATATGAAGTATATGAAAGTGTAATGCGTGTTATGTAGGTGAAAAGTCGGTATCGGTTCAGTAACCTTCTCGGCGACGCCACCCCTATTATTATCCATGACACGTTCACGCAACATTTTGTTCCGCTTCATTGACCTTGCTAATGTCCATGCACCATCGTGCGACATCGTGTAATTATTTTTTTTCACGATTGTCGAAATAATAAGACGGTAGATAGGATAGAACAATCGTAGCGTACAACAATTTTGGATCGAAACGAGTTTTATTAAAGAATAGGATATACATTATTCGCGTCGTCATTATTGTGACAAAACGTGTTTTTATAATTCGACGTGCAAAATAATAAGTTGAGAAGGATCGACCTGTTTTATTGGCAATTATGTAATTGAATTACAACGCATTGCACGATTCCATTTTATATTAAATTATCGAGGAATTTTTTTTCTTTTTTTTTTTTTATCGAAGAATTATTTTCCCTCGAAATAATTTACACGATCGATAAAATGTGATTAAACGTGATTATTTCAATGATTATACTTGAGAGTGATCGATGCCTCGTTGGAAATTTTCTTTTTTTATAATTCGATTGATTGTTGGGAGCCATTTAAAAGATATAATATCGTATCATCGTGAGAAAAAATTCGAGGCAGGTCGAAGCAGTTTCTAAATATTATATAATTGTTATATTTTCAGCGATCATGTCAGGGACAAGCTGATGAACTTTCGAACACCTGCAATGATGTGACAATAAAGATATCTTCTCCTACGTCCTTTCTCATATCGCGGGGTATTGTCCCTGTTATACAGTGCTTCCCAGAATAGAACGAGAGAATGAAATAAAAAAATAATAATCATCGGTTTAATAGTAATCGGTGGTAAAAAGAAAAAAAAACAAAAAATAAAAAAAAAAGAAAACACAAAAAAAGGAAAAAAACGGTGCCAAACGTCGATAGACAAGCCAATCAAAAAAAGCATCTCTTGATATTTCGATAAACATCGACTAAATTAAAAGGCAAAGCAAAAAAAAAAAAAAAAAAAAAAAAAAAAGAGAAGGAAAAGAAGAAAAAGAAGAAGAGGAAAAGAAAGACCGTTGATTGAAAGAAAAAAAGAAAAAAAAAAAAGAAAAACGCACAGAACAGAACGATTAACCATTAAACGTTGTTACATTTCAACGAAGAAGAGACAAAAACGGAAAGCACAAAAATAAAAGAGAGAGAGAGAGAGAGAGAGATAAAAATAAATAGGGACATTCGTTGAAAAAAGAAGAAGAAGGTGAATCGGTTGAATCGAAAGGTGGCGCGAAGAAAGAAAGGAAGAAGGATCACACAAGGTGGTATAAGAGAATAACGAGAATAGAATGGGCAATAAGTTGTCTTGCAGTTGTGCTCCTCTTATCAGAAAGGCTTATCGTTACGAGGATTCACCATGGCAGGCTGGCGCGAGGGGCGGAATGGGCGGCAGCGGAGCACGAAGGGGTGACACTGGC